CCTCGGTCCTAATGTGGGAAACAAACTCCCATTAGTGGCTTGCTGCATCAACTAGCATGAACTCCGCACATAAAACCTTTTGGGCATCAGTGCAGCTGAGATGCTTGAAGATTTGTTCCAAACCCTTTATCCATTCCTCGACTGCCAAAAGGCCTGCGATCCTTAAAGTTAGAGGGCTTATAACGATGAAACTGTTCCATGATCGAGCTCATGGTGTTGGAGTTAATCTATGCATTCTAAGGAGGCGCTTGCGCTTGCTGCCTACCAAGATCTTGCACAGCTCTCAACAAATCCTTAAACATAGCAGTTTGTGTTGGTTGACGTGCCATTTCCTTTAAATCAACCAAATAATTTTTTTTTTTAGAAATAATCAACAACATCTCAATATATTCGGATGAATGACTGAGTTTCATAAAATTTTAAATTCTTGTATACAAGAGGAATGATTGAAAGGATTAAAGCATGGACAATGAAGAAAAACCTATGGATTATTCCAAATGTTGATTACATCTCCCATTTTTTTTTATGGGATGAAATTATTTATTTAAACTAAACTATCTTTACGTTGCTAGTCTTCATCTTCACTTGTCCAACCATTTTAAATCCTCCGAAGTTTAGATGGAGGGGCTTCATCATCCATAGATGTACATGACTCAGGCTCGAATTCATGGTCAACCTCTAGCTGAGGGTCTAGTTCGAACCCTAGCTCATGCTCTGGTTCTAATTGTAGTTCTAGTTCTGGTCCTAGTATGTACTCTGGCCCCGACATAGATTCATAATTTGGCTCCTCTTTTGGCTCGGGTTCGGGCTAAAGAGTAGAAATCCACCTATCTAGGAAAGTTTCACAGTACAGCTCGAACTCGGTTCTTTCTCGGTGTTCTAGATGGTTACCATCTAGTATTTCGTCCCTAACAAAAATGCCCATGTCTCCCTACTGAGGTGGTAGTGCATGGATAAGGTTGTCAATAGCTTGGAAGGGTGTAATCTCATGTCCTACCCCTCTTGATGAAGCCCATCTAGCGAGACTTCCACCATATATTCAATAAGTGTGTGAGTTGGGTCTGCTTCATAATTTTCATAGGTTTGGATAACTATTGCCCTATGGTTTATAACAGTCCTACAAGTCGTTGCCTTCCTAACGGTCTCTCTAGTTCTAACCGTGACTATATCTATGTTCTACTCAAAATAATCCATAGTATTTATATTGTATTCAACATGCTTTCCATTAAAAATGGCTAAAATTGTTGATTGCCCTTTTCACTTGTTCACATGCCTAAATTTCAGGCAATTTGTTCAATTCTAATTCAAAGACAGTTGACTCGTTGACAGAACAAAGGTAATGATTACCATGTATCATGCCAAGAAATTTGTCCAAGGAATATATTATATAATAAATCATTGAGCTTGCAAATCTCATAGAACATTGGTAATTTAGGACGGCATACATTGTGGTCTTTAATATTTTTCCATTTGATTGTCTTTGAGGTATTTATTTTGTGTGCTTTCAATCTATTAACCTGTCGACACGTCATTTTGACTTAGGTGTCTTTAACGGAAAATGTAGTTTTTCGATTTGAAAAAAAAAAGGTATTTTAATACAACAAAAATTGTCAAAAGCAATTGATAGCTCCTTTTCTAAAACTGTGAATGAAGAACGAAAAATGAACACGATCTACTTGCATACACTTCTATCAGTAAATTGTGAACTCAAACATGTGACCGGTGAATTGTGACCTTAATGACGAATTGTGACTCATTACATATGAACTGTGACCTTATGTGTTCATGAACAAATCTTTCTTCGATGTGATTGTCTATGACCATGTTAGTTTAATTTGTGACTATATGTAATCAAGTCATATACGGAACAATTAACACAAATCTGATCACAGGCAATCACAATGGAATCCTCTTGCCCGCCGTTACTACTTCTAGAGCCACCATTCACATTCTACTACCTATTGTCGTTACTGTGGCTATTATTATCATTATTACCATTGCTATGACCCAATGAAGGATTAGCACTTGTAGCCATAAATAATTTACTCTGATACTCAGAAATTTTCAGCAAATCTATTTTGTTTATGGAAATTTCAATAAAATTAATGGATAAATATTTGTTCAAAATTTGGATAAAAAATGGCTGGAAATGATAATTTGACAGAGAAAATTGAGAGATTAATATATTTATTAAAGAAATTGGATAAACATTAGGCAAATAAAATCTGTACTAAACATTGAGCTATGGATTTGATTTCCCAAAATATTTAGGGTTTGGATTTGGGAATGAAATGGGGGTGGAATGGTTGGCGGGTATGTAGATAAGGTTTAATTAAATTTTTATTAATTTAATTATTAAATCTAATTAACATTGATTTGTGAAATGAAAATTAATCCTCCCTATTTTTGAAAATTGATCTTTAAATTAAGATTTCTAGGTAATTTTCCTATGATTTAAAAATCCAGTCGACCAACTTACCACGTAGGGATGCCAAAAAGGCTCAAGGGCTTGGACCACCCGTGGCTGGCTCACAAAAAGCTCGAGCTGCCTCTGCTCTGGGCTCGGGCTGGGTTGGCTCGAAAAAAAAGTAAAGTAGCATGAAAGGCAGTTCGGTGCCTTTGTAAAAGCAGCCAGCTAGCTTCTGAAAAAAAGTAGAAAAAGGAAAAAAAATCGAGTCAGCTCGGCCCGTTGATGGAAACGAGCTGACATCAACGGGCCGAGCCAGTTCGTTAGCCAAAAATCAAGGCTTCGGCTCGACTCGAGTTTTTTGAAGACCACTTTTTTTGGCCCGAGTCGAGTCGAGCCAAGCAAAAGCTTGGCCAAAAAGTCGAGGCTAGGCCCATTTCGACTCGGTAAGGACCAAGCCAAAAGCTCGGGCCCTGGTCAACCCTCAACTTTTTGGCCGAGCTTTTGTTCGGCTTGGCTAGGGCCAAAAAAAGCAGTCTTCAAAAAGCTCGAGCCGAGCCCAAGCCTTGATTTTTGGCTAGCAAATCGGCTCAGCTCGTTGCCATCCCTGTTACCACGTAATAACCTAATTGGATTATTATTTATGTATGCCATCTTACTCGTGTGCTACATGGCTGCCTTTATTCTATGGTTATTCTTGGCTATTCTTGTAGTTAGTATCTACTTTTTTTTTTTTTTTGCTCCTAAAGCTTCCACATTTCTCCTCCTTCTTTGCCAGTTGCTTAACCTTTGTGGTACCTTTGTCCATTACCTTTTGTGGATCGATTAGGACTTGGTCTTTAGTCTGATTTGGGGAGTTGCCTTCGTGTAAGATGAATGTCAAACTGAACCCTTGAAACATCTCCCAAACTCTGTTCAATTGTAGTTTATCAATTGATTATTTTCTTGCTTTATTTCTCAAATTTGATTTCATTCAACTTTTTTTAACTTCGGTTATCTTTGTGGCTTTGTGAGGTAAACTCAACAGATGTGTGTAATGTCTCGAAAATTAGGAAGAATCTTGTATCCTAAAGCCTTCTTAACAAACTTATCCATAAGTCCAATAAGCTTGTGTCTTTTGATAGGAATTAAAATTAGATTTTATAGGAAAATGTGATGGAAGTTTTTGAAATGTGTGACTGAAAAGTTGTGAGACCTATAAAAGATATGATTAATATTAATTATTTGACTTTGACTAAAATTAAAATCTAATTTTAATCAAAACCAAACATAGGCTAAGAATGATTTTTTTTTTTTTGGCAAAATACTTCATGTATGATGAGATGTTCAAACTTTACATTAATAATAAAGTGACTACAAGTTTAGTTTACTTGATTAATTCTTTTTCATGGAATTCACGATTAGGACTTGTTAACAATAGATGATTGCATGATATGAATGCGTTGACATTACTTCGTAACTCTCACTACAAAAAATTCCAGGTCCAGGGACCAAAAAAATTGGTCCCTGAAGGTCATTATTTGGTCGCTACAGGTCTCTACCAACCACAAAACAGTGGTCACTGACTGGTTGGTAATAGACCATCAGTGATGGTCTTCAGCGACCAATAAGTTGTGGTCGCTAGATATATATATTCCAGTGACCAGTTATTGGTCGCTAGTAGGCTTAATTGTATTCGCTACGAGTTGTGCAGCGACCATTGTATTGGTCGCTAATATAAGAATGGTTGCTATATATTGGATTCAGCTACCAAGTGTACGTGGTCGCTATATACGCATCTTGCAGCGACCACCTTGTGGTCGGTACAAGAAGACATCCAGCGACCAAGGTGATGTGGTTGCTGTATATGTTGGTACAGTGACCAATTATTGGTCGCTAATATAGGTGGTCGTAATGTACATATTGTGCAACGACCAATTCTTGGTCGGGTAAAGGATTTTGATGTTGGTTAATTTACACTCATTTGCAACCAATCTTTGGTTAGTGAACATTAATCTTTTAATAGCCAGTATTATTTGTTCCTAATAATATTTTGTCTATTGTTTCAAATTTCAACAACCACAAAGGCAACTGAAATTAGCTATTTCAAGAATTAAAAAAAAAATTAAATGAAATTTAACAAGAAACATTTCGCTACAGAAATAAGATTGTATTGCACATGTAAGAAATACTAATAGTCAATACATAACCCAAAATGTCTAATATTTTATCACAAAAATAAATCGTAACTTCAACCTAGATTCAGTTGTGAACAGTACAAGGTGTTGAGATATGAATGTTTAATTTGATTAGAGTGTTGTCCTTGCTGAGAGCTGGACATGGCCCTCTTACCAGCAGCCTTGCTCTTCGAAGCTCTATCGGATGCCCTGTAAAGTTTATAGTTGGGGGGCACATGAGGATAAATATTTGCAGAAGAGTAGAGTGAAACTATGAAGAGCAATATTATTCAACATTGCTAGCACAATCAGATGAATCTAATACCTTTTTTTGAAGACTTGATTTGAAGTACTACCCTTGGCATCTTTCTTAAAGGAATTGCTCTTTCTGATTCTTAAAGCATAAGAGACCTAATCAATCTATTGGTTTGGATTATCTTGATACGCTGGTCCTCTGTTAAAACAAAATTAAAGTATCCATTTATTAAACTTCAAATGGAAGGTATTACAATCAGCTAAGTATTCTATCAATTCAACCAAGCAGAAGGATGAAGATGTAAGCAACACGAATTTACATATCAATTTTACTGAACACAGTGCAAGCTGTCTAAGTTGGCTACATAGTGAGAAAATTAGTTCCCCATGGTGGGATATACATGCTTTAAGAGATTGGCAAGAAGAGCCACTCACCCCAAGTTTTGAAGTGCATGAGTTTATGATCAAGAGGCATGAATCCAATTTTACCCGAAGACTTCAACTATGTTCACTAGTCCACAACTCTATTAACCCTACATTACCATAGCCTTAAACAGGTAAGACTCGTAAATAACATATCATAGCCCCCAAACACAATAAATCCTAAAATCGATTATTTCCAAGATAAAGTCGACCAGGTTGGGTGCATAAATTCTAGAGGGTAATTAGAAAATTAACTAAGATATAATTAGAAAATAAACCTTCTTTGCTTCTTGCAAGTACATCCGGAACTGGAAATAAATCACTTTTCCAATTGATTTTAGACAATTTGACTCTTCATTATGCAAAAAGAAAGAGGAAGCAGAAGTCAGCTACTCCAAATCACAGACTAGGAAAAGATCACTCCATTCCTTCTGCAACTGATTTCTCAAAATGCATATAAGGATTAACTAATGAATATTGTCACACTAGAACAATCAAAAATTGAATATAACTCAAGATTGAAGTTTCAGACCCAGTATAATAATATGAAAGTGATAAGCATGTGCAGATATCAACAACTCAGTCAAATGGGATTTGCACGAATGTCCGTGCTATTTTCCACGTGCAAAAAAAGACCACTCCAACCCATCACAATAAATGCAACATTTACTAGCAGAAACAAAAATTAATTAGATTTTATTGAATATAAGACCTGGAGGTGATGTGTCATGATCGCAAATATAGACCCGCATCCCACCCTGCATAATTTTGTGAATACATAATCAAATGGAAAAAACGGAAGTACAAATGCATGTCTCAAGAAGAAAATTCTATCATCAGTTACATCCAGAGAACTTCTATAGATGCCCAGATGCGTAGAGCCTGAGAAGAAATAACATAGAATAAATAATAACTAAACATCCACATTCCTAAAAAATTGCTTCATCACTGTAAATAGCATCTTTAATGTTAACAGAAGTGATATTTGGAACAGAAAACCCAAAATATATACGGATCTAGTTCATAATGTTCTAGAAATCTGGGTCTTCATTAATTACACAATCCACATTTCAGTGACCAATCTTAGATAATAGGAGCATTGACATATAAATAGGTGCATTTCTAAAAGAATACCTGTGACGATGTCAAACCACTAGAGCCCAAATTTATGTTAAGCCAGTCCGCGACTAAGTCCACAAATTTTTTTTATGAAGAGGACCTAAAAAATTTTTGAAGAAAATTAATGTTAATGAAAAAGCAAGAATTCAAGTCACAATAATTTATAGTTGCATTAAATGATATGCATAACTTATATATAAATGCATTAAAAATTTTGTGACAGAGAGTCTGATTGCTCCATTAAAAATTTGACTCTGATTGCAAAAATATGGAGCAGCAATCATAAAAACTTTTAACTCAAAGGATGCATTTCTGACAGAAACTTTGATTGCTCCATTACTAAAATAATTTAACTTAAAAAATAATCTAAAAATCATTTATTTCAACAGTTAGTTACTTTCAATTCTTTTGTAGAGAATGCTTTACATCTCTTTCGGATATTGACAAAGTAGATGCTTGAAGTGCCTTCAAATAATTGTAAGTTTCTGGTCTTACTGTGTGATAAGAGGTGGATAGTAAAAGTATGTTTGACAGCATAAATCATAAGCTATGCTTTTGTCAAACATGCACAAAGTACGGTAACTAATAAAAAAATAATAAAATTGACATCAAAGTCCATAAAACTTATTGGTATAGGAGAAACTTGTGTACAAACAATTGTGCAATTTATTATTGTCATGTAATAAAGTTAGCAAAATTTCAAGAAATAATGTTCAAAGAATCTTTTTATTAGACACTTGTTTGCAACAAAAATGAACTTAATAAGGATTAATATGGACTGCAATGACTGTCAAATAGGTCAGTCACCTCACATGGCTTAAAGGCTCAACTGCATTCAATATTCCCCTCACTAAACAATTTATACTGACATTGAATCCTCAAAACAGAAAATAAGATATGAAGGTTTAAAAATATAACCATTACATGAGTTCCTCTATTTTCAAGAGAAAATATACCTGTGAAGTTGCTGATACAAATCCTTACCTTGAAGACTAAACTCAGTTATTCAGCAAAATCGAACTCAAGAATATTCTGATGGCGCTGTCAGTACTTCTATATTTGTCGACTGTGGGCGACTGGGTGTCAAACACTGTAGCAACAAAAGTTTTGTTCAGTTTCAGATGAAGAGGCGGAGTGGCTTGAATGTTACTTCAGAAGTTCTTGAAATTCAAGATGAAGTAGAAGAAGAGAGGAGAAATTAAATGATAATAGTAGAGACGGCATATGTGATAGAGAGAGGGAGCTTAGAATTGGTGAGGTTTGGTAACTTTGGGTGTGTCTACTTCTGCTTTTTCCCCAGATCGGTAACCCTTTGTTTTGCTTGTGTTTTTGGCTTTTTGCAATGCGTATGATAGAGGCCCAACTAACAGAGTTACATATGACCAGGTTGATAGCCTTATCATAAGGTTCAAAGAAGTACATTTCTGACTCCACCATGGAAGTTGTCAAAAGGCTTATCTGTGATCTCTACTATGGTGTCGAGGTTTCTTGTCCCCAACCAATCAATACACATTTCATGAAAATCGAGTTATGAAAACTTTTGAAATTTGACTAAGTATATGGAAGATCGAATTAACTAAAACAAACACAAAATATACGGAACCATCCCAACTTTATTTTTTAACCAAAAAAAAAAAAAAAAAAATTACAAAAACATAAAAGGACACTTGTTGCTACATTTAAAACTTTCACAATCTGCCTCTCTACCAAACAAAGTTCTCAACACTTAGAATTTAAAGACACAAATTCGTATGAGTTTAGGTTAGGAATTTACTTAACCATGCACAGCGAAAAGAAAAGGAAAAAAAATTCAATTACCACCAAGGATCTACTTTGTGTTTCAATAGAAATTGTGAGAGAAATTACACCTTCGTTGAATTGTCCAAACTCCTTTGCGTTTCTATTATTCCAACAACCTTGATCTGTCACTCACAGCTGTCCAATTGTCCAGCCCTCAATAAAATTCCACACAGAGAGCAGGATTGAGAGAGAATCGGGGTTTTATTTTCTTGGGCTAGCAAGAATGAAAAACTTCTACAATTTCTAAACCTTAACTGCTTATTTATATGAGCCCAAACAAGCTTGGCCCGTCTCATAGCCAGTCTAATATTTAATTAAATCCTATTGATGAGCCTGTTTAACTTACAAGTTTTACACAATTTTAACTTGATTATTTGCTAAATCTTCGAGTATGGAACGTTTTTGATGTTTTTGTTAATGTTGTTTTGAAGATTAAGAAAGGTGGTGCAAAAGGAGGTACTAAAGTGGACGAAGAAGACAAAAATAAAGAATTTGGATTAGAAAGGCAGCGCCTAGGCACTGCGTTCATAGCGTCCAGATGCTACGAGATGTGAAAAAATGAAGAATTGAACCAAAAAGGCGTATTGACGCTTAGACGATGTGCGAGGTTTTCTAGAACGCGTTTTGGTCCGTTTTAAAGTACATAGAAACCCTACTTTCTACACAAACGAGGGGGCACCGATAAAAAGAAAAATTTCTCACACTTTTGAGGGGAAATTCACACATTGAGAGACAAGAGAACACAATTAGAAAATCAAAAGAGGAATTCAAGAGAGAAAACATCGAGAAATTCACCGTGTAAAGCATGTGTTGGAAGAGGAAGAAATTCTTGGTGCAAGATCTACATTTTCTTCTATACCTTTAATACAAAATCCGGTGATGTATTCCATGACAATTTATGATTTTTACGTTTTCATTACGAATAGCTAAATCTATTGATAGGGTGAATAATGTAACCAATTGGGATCCTTTATATTTTTTTATCAAGATTCTTGAATTTTAATTTTTTCATGTGTTGATTTCACTATGAATTGATTGCATTAAATTACTTGATCACTAACTTGATGATTTTGGTGAGTCATTTATGAATAGAGATTCATTTAAGATTTGGACCATATAGTGAAATCCTATAAATTGGTATAACGAGTAGAGATACCAAAATAATTGCGGTAGCAATCGAATTCCTATGATAAGAACTCGTTTAACTAAGTGGATTTGCATAGATATGGAATTTAATTAGTTAAATAGGCTCAAAAAAACTCGAGAGAAGTAAATTAAATACAATAAGAGAATTCGATCAAATACTACATTGGGTGTGAATCTAAATTTAAGATGTAAAGATGACCAATAGGTGAAAGTATTCTGCCCTAACGTCCATTCATAATTTGATTTTCAAACCAATTGTGTGTGCATTCACCTATTTTCTCGCATTTAGATTAAAACTCAGATCCTGCAAATTTTTATTTATTTTCATCAAATAGTGGTTCGGAAAAAATTGAATCTAGTGCTAGAGTATAGTTCTCGTGAGATCAACGATCCAGACTCTTAGGTCTACTATATTACTTGTTATGGAAATAAAATTAACAAGAAGTTTTTGGCACCATTGTCAGGAACTATTACTTTTAGTCTTAAATTATTATTTTTAACTGTTATTTGATTAATTTATTTTCTTTTATTTGTAGAAAAAAGGCATTCATTATATACTTCATACTTAAGGGGACGATCTTGAACCGTTTGATTCGAAAATAGAACATACTTTTAGACAAAGATGCAAAGAACATAAACAAAATAGCAACATCAAATGGCTAACAATCAACATATTCCTATTCCTATTCAGCCAATTGGACAAGTGGCTGCAAGAGTACAGGCACCATAAGAACAGTAGCACGAGCAATGGGAAATAAGTGAAGGAGATTTGCCAGTCTCAATGTTCGTGATACTTATAGCAGCACCCATGCGCTCCATTGCTATGTATCCAGAATTTGGGGTGAATAATTTTCAGATCAAGCCTGATTGTATTAATTCGATGAGCAACACTCTCCAACTCTGTGGGTTATCTCATGAAAATCTGAACACCCATATCTCCACATATTTTCAAGAGCTGTTAGAACTTCTATGCTCAAGAGTTAACAAAGATGCTATTTCCATTTACACTGAGAGATGCTATATTGGAGTGGTTAGATGCAAGAAAGAAGACCAAGTTTGAGGGAAATGTTTCAACAATATGTGCAGAAGATGGACAACATGATCCAACAAATTAACACAAACTTTCAAAATCAGCTAGCATCCATCAAGAAACTGGATGCACAAATTGGTCAAATACTGCAACAAATTGTAGAGCGCCCATAAGGGACATTGCTAGGTAATATAATGATAAATCCTAAAGAACAGGGAATGGCAATTAAAGTTGTGGAAAATGA